ATAGAAAGTAGAATCCTTCAGGGCAACTTCTTCATCCTGTTTTGTATAAATTTCCCTATTTATTTATCCTTATCCAACTTTTATCCTGTCCTGCTTACAACAAACAGCACATGATAGCATTCATTTGACTTCATTTAGTACAACTATGCTATACTTTTTCAAACTCCAGATAGTGGGCTTCATGTTCTGTAAACTTCTCCATATAAATAATTCTGCATTCAAAGTTACAGGTTTGAAAGATTTATAATTTAGTGTTTCATGTTACATTATTTTATCTTAAATATGGAAGAAGATACAAAACATAAAATCCCATACCTGCAATGTGAACTGATAAAATCTTACATATTAGATACTTCCTATTAAGGAATGGAAACATTTGCACTTGCCTTCTATGTGCAAATCCATTGGGATATTATTTGGGCAGCAGGACTCCTCCAAGAGCCATTTCCAGCAATGACATTATGGAGGAAGAAGACTTGCATATATATGTGTGGGTATACATATATATGTATATTTCATCACAATGCATATATGGTTCTTTTTTTTCTCAAAATGTCTAAACAAACAGCATTATGTGCCAGCAACTTAAGCATTAAAATTTTCAAGTGGACACCTTAAATAGACACATGAGGAAAAGGCAGTGGTTAAAAATGGTAACAATGAGAGATCAGCAGAAGAATCACACAGTAAAGAAATGAGTTTTCATCACTCATTTAAAAATATGGAAGGAATTAGACATATGTTATACTGGTAAAAAGTTCTAATGAAGCAGCAAGGCATAAAAACACATAAAAAGAATAAATAGTTTACAGAGAATGTAAGTATTAGAGGAACAAAAGCAACAACATAAAAATATGGGTAATAAAAAGGAGCAAAAGAACAAACACATTCTGAAGTTAACAGAAGCTTAAAAACAATATAAAAAGACAAAGGAACCAACAGAGGTAAGGAAAACTAATACAGTACAACCAATGACAAAATGGATTAATTTTAGAAATGAAGATAGAGGATAAAGGTTACATTCTTGTATAACTTTTATGATAATCTACACACAGGTTGCATAATTTCATATACAATGTTCTTACTATACAATAAAAATGGCACTTTGAGGGAGCTATAAGTAATTCAAAAATAGCAGGAACTGCTGTAATCAGTCAAACAGGAGCAACACTCTGATTCATATGATCTTATCATGATGGCATGAAAATCAATGCATGCTATTTCATGCCTTTCCAAATCGGACAAGGGCTAGACTGAGTACTTTAGGACAATGTTGCTAAAATAGAATGTCCATTTGTTCATTACAAAGAACTTTATAGTAATGTTAGAAGATAGACAAATTGCAGCACCAGTCTATTCATTAATATGTTTTGTTTTATAAATATTTATAGACTTTAGTGTGGAGGAGGTATGTGCCAATAGACTGCTGCTCAATGTATAGTAATCTATAAAGTACTGAGAGTCTGGTAACATATCACAAACTTGTAGACACTAAGAGTGGTCAGATCCAATAAGAAGACCCTTTATAAGCAAAATATATATATTCATAAATATTCTGTGATGTTGCTAAATTTAAGTATGTGTTTTCTTTTGTAAATGCAGAAACACATTATATGTAGAAAATGTAGAAAAATATGTCATGCAGTAAAAGTAACATGACTGAAATTGCCCAGGTTTGCAAAACACTAAAATACCTTATTGATCCTGAATGGAAAAAAAATGAAGTAATCAGATACCAGACAATAGCCATATTCATGCTTTCTTCTGAGCTAGTCAATTCAAAGGCGGCTTAGTGATCTAGTTAACACAATATATTAAGTTATAAATCATGGTTTAGAAACAACAATGACTGTATTCACATATGGCACTAAAAACATATAATGATTTAATAAATGTGAATCAAGCCATTTTTTTGATGCTAACACTGCTGTAGCATAAAACAGTGAAAAATGCTATATTTTTGAGTTATATTAAAAAAGGGAAATCTAAAGCTATAATTTTAAAAATAATTTTAATAGCTATGTTATATTTTATATAGCTCTCTGCTGTATTGGGCAAGGGATAGAACAGATGGATGGGTGAGTAAACTTGCTGCCTGCATAAGCCAAATATACCATTTATTATTTCTGTCATATGCTGCTTTTGTGTTGTTACTTTTCTTTTAAATTTTGGTTCCATTCTTATTTTTGATTTTAACTTTTATTGTTGAACAAACCAAATAACTTCCATTCTTGGGTAGCACAAAAGCACAGTAAGATAAATGAAATGAATACATATAGCACAATCAAATCCATCAAATATCCCAATCTCAAACTACATTCAGCCTATAAATGGGCTGAAATAATCTAATAAGCTATATATCAAAACAAATAAAATAGTTATTCATTCATATATATATAACAATATTTTGATTAATTAAAATATAAGCATAGTAATCTTTGGAGTATAATTATTGTGGCTTGAAAAATATGTATTTTCAATTTTAATATAATTTATACATAATGCATTTCATCTTCTTAGAGTGACAAAATTCAGATTGCATTAAGCTTCCATTTTTCCTTCTTAAGAACCAATATATAAAAACTCAACTCCCCATGGTTTCTAGTTTCTTAAAAATTTATATTTCTATATTCTCTGTCTACATGATCCCAAATTTTAAAAAATAATGAAGTGAAATGAGTGCTATAAATCCCTTTTGGCATATTCCTTCTTTGTTAATTTTATAATGGAAAAAAGAATTTGCTGCAATATTAATACCTTTGTATCAGGCCTTCTTTACAACCTAGTATGCTTTTGCTAGGCAAGTTTCATCTTTGAAAAATACAGACATCCATAAATGTAAATCTCTAAATCTATATCTAATCATAAATGAAGACCTCTGTGGTATAAAATTCTAATATGACAATACAGGATATGGGCAGTTACTTTGTTTATTTGACTTGCTCAAATCTATGGGCACAGATTTAACTCATGAAATCACGGATCAAAAGTAAAATTGCACACAGTAAAATAACTACAGGAGGTAATACAGGGAAGGATACCACTCCCTAAAAGCAAACATCTCTCTTTGCTGTGATTGGATTTGCTCTACTCCATTTTGTACATCAGAGGAGACATATGAACATATATATATACATATTTCTACTAATTGAATCTCTAAATTAATAAACTACTTTTAAATCAAAACATGCCTTTACTGCTTCAAGTTCATTAACAAACAGTTAAAAGCTTTGTTGCAAAAGGTTTAGCCACCTTCTTGAGACATGGGAACTGGTATTCTTTTCTGTTCAGATTTACAAAAGAAGAAAAGGCAATTGGCTGCTGGATAGTTGCTAAAACTTGCTGATTTAATAAGTATAAAAGACAGATACATTAAATCCTGCACGCATTGGATCCCTTTTTCAGTAAGCTACAATGCATTGTGTGGAATTTCCCAGTAAAAGCATTTTATTGGTGCTTATGATCAGAAAGTAAATGCCTGAATCAATATATAGTAAAATCAAGTGAAGCAACCTGCATGCAGATTTGAAATATCCTATCTAACATGGGATGCCATGGCTTATCATGCTTGTGAACTTGTGATGCTGGAGGATTGGTCTAAGAGTACTTCTATTCCTTCCAAGATTTTTTTTTCTTAAAGAGAATGTAAAGTTGAATAAATAAAATAATATTAGTATCTATTTCAACTTGTGTTGCTGTATTAGTTATTGTATTATGCAATATTATATTATATTGCTTAGGCAACTATCATAAGCACAACTACTTGAAATTAAGTTCCACTATCATCAGTAGTATTTACTTTCAAGTAAATATGAACACACAATTATTAATAATTAAGATTGGTATTTTTCATATATCCTATTTAAAAATCATTCTTGAAATGGATGTTTTCCCACTATGTACCAATGATCATTACGGAACATAATAGTATTAGAAAAATTGAAATAAAGATTGAGAGAATCTGAAAACTATAAATGGATCTACAGTTCCTGCTATACTTTCGTTTACTATAAAAAATATGTCCAATTGAGAAAGTAGTAAAATTCTACAAAATCTGGATTAAACAACTAGCTATATTAGAAATACTTTGAAAAACTAATTCAGAAAAATTTCACTTTACTGCACTGTACTGCTGCTCATTAAAGAAACTATTTCTCAAATTACTGAATGAGGATAAGGAGGAAAAGCTGCAGCTGCTTTAAAAAAAATCTATCAGCTGCAATTTCTTCAAGTTCACTTAGAAGTCTAGAAAGCAATTGGCTTCTTTAATGAGCAGAAGATAGGTGCTAGTCTTCATGCAGGGCTCAAATGACTTTTCCCACATTATTTGTGAAACATGCCAAGCCTCAGTTTGCTGGTGTTTTTTTTAAAATGTTGGTTATAGATAACAGGAGAAATACTTCAAATATTTTAATTTAACTGAATTAATTTAACTTATCTTTTAGCTGACAAACCAGATTAAAAAGGAGGCATAATCAGTCAAATCCAATAAACCTAGTTCTTCCCAATCCACAGTTATTCTTCCAAATTTCAAATTCATGAACTCTCTGGTTCATCAACATACAAGCATTCTATTTTTTTTTAAAGGGTTTGGATTTTCATAAGACAGTTTATAGTTCCACAAATGTTTCAAATTTTGTATTTTATAAATATGTATAGTATACTTGAAAACATTTTTTCAGACTTTAATAAAAGGGGAGTAAAAGTGAAAACCAAAAGGTCTAAACATACTGCTAATTCTAGAATGAGAACTGAAATGAGGGGGAAAAAAGGATTTAGAATACCCTATTAGTGTATGTGTGCCAAAAATACTTAAAGCAAGCAACTGCGATTTAATCTGTTATCTCAATGTTAGTACTCTATCAGTCTTTGTCACTTCTTTCAATTAAGTAGACTATTTTTCAGGAAACATCCAAAAATAATAAAAGATGCCTCACATTATGGATTATTTGTATCCTGTTATTTTTTTCAAAATGAAACAAATTGTATTGAAGTTCTACCTTAAGAGAGGCCAGTGGATGTTCTGGACCAAGTAAACTCCAATGAAATGAAGCCAAATCTTCATCAGGTAGAATGTGATTACCTAAAATATACAATACAATACATGCCCATATGAATTACATCAGTATCTGGAAATTAAAATATCCTATTTACAGTATTAAAACCAGGGTCAATATAACTTTTAAAACGGTTAAGAATATGAATGAAATGTATTTTAAATAGTAAGTTTATATCATTAGATAAATCTCCACATATGCGTAAACTTAAATAAGTGCTTGAAATTAATGAAGCCTGATTAGTTTTTGAACCATTCCAAGCTATGTAAACCTTTTAGTAGGAAAGAAGAAACAGGAGACAAAAGCCTTCCTTCTTCCAATGCTTCTCTACTTCTGTGATGGTATTATACCAAAACTGAATATAGGTTCTGCATCAGTGTAGAATAAGTAGCATAGCATAGAACCATTCCAATAAGTGATCTACCCATACTTCTGGATTTAATAAATTTCCAACACTGTCAATCAACAAAGATGAAGTTTTGAGGTTCAACTTTTATGTTGACACCCCAAAAATCTATCTGATTAAAACATATGATGATATACGTAGTTTCATTATGGTAGTGTTGTTCTACCATGGAAACAGGTTACAATGCAACAGTGTAGGTTCAGATGGTAAAACATTGAAATCAACTGCAATTTTTTTAAAAAATTATTTTTAATTTTAATTATGAGAATACAACACAATAGATCGAACTTATCCTTGTTATACATTTTTACATTTTACTTCATCATTTATAATCTCATTTAATATATTAATTACTAATTAATCTAATCATAGACCTTGTCTACTATATAATCATTTATAAAATTTATTCCATGTTTTATAATATTTAGACTCTCCTTTGTCTTTTATTTCTAAAGTTAACCTATCTGATTCTGCACATGCCATAATTTTTCTTATTATTTCTGTTTCTGAAGGTATGATTTTTTCACATATTGTGCATATAATATTCTAGCTGCCGTCAATACATGTACTATTAAATACATTATTTTCTGTCTTTTTCTCTTGTGAGACCTTTTCTATCAGAGTTTTGGGTCACACTAGAATGCAGAAAGCAAAATAGAGCTAGAGCCATCCCATAAAATATAAGCACCAGCTAAGTGGCTAGCCAGGCAATCATTCATCTGTAATTATGAGGTTGATGATGATCATAATGATAATGAAGACATTTAAGTTCACTGTCAAAGATGTTCCAGTTTTGAGAAAACAAATATAAAGTTGCTGAATCAGTATTTTCAGTCATATCAAAACATACTGAAATACTACTGACTATTTCCGTCAAAGTTCTCAGCAATTGTTGGAAAAACAGACAGAGTTAAGTGACCAAGACAGAAATAAGATGGAAGGCATTCTTGATGCAATCATTTCTAAAAGAGAAAGAAATTGTGCACTGGGTGGCAAGCCTTATCAATCGTACAAAAAATCCACTTTTGTTTAAGCAATACAGTATATTTGATAGGGATACCGGAGCCACTAATATCTTCAAATCTATCCTTTTTAGTCAGGAAATCCTGTATTGAAACATTTCTTGATCCTCATTTTCTTGTGGAAAACAGCCAAATAAGAAATACATCACTGACATGCTAAATTCAGTAATCCAGATGGCATCACTATTCCAAGAAAAAGTATATACAGTATCACTGCAGCTATGGGCAACTCATAAAATCAAGAAGAGCTTTATAACGCTTATACTAACTATATTCACAAAGTAAGCTACATTGTACAACTTATCTTCTCTAGAAGTTGCATTTTCTCTTTGCTGTTAGCATCAACCAGTTATCATTCTTGTCTTCATCTTTTAAAACACAAAACTGAAGAACTGATTGATTTGAAAATAATCTTTGTATATGTAAAGCTTTGTGGTTGATGCCTACATTCAAACACTAAACTAAAATTGATTTAAGATTTTTCCCTGTATCTCTTTTGCCAATACCTAATTGGTTACTCAAACAATCTGAACCAGTGTCTGTTAGAAGGTGTATTTGTAGAATGATGCTCTTAGTATGGAGCAGAAAAGGCTGTCTGAGGATACATAAGTATCTTTTTCTTATTTTGTATATTTTTATGTATCTGTTTTGAATAATATTTTTAGAAATAAAAAAAGTTTTTCTAAGCATCATTGATTTTTCTTCTGTGAATTGGGTAATTGTTTTGTGATTTGCGTGAGCCTTAACAAAATAGAATTTGTCTGTGGTAAGAACATTTAAATAGCGTTCTTTCTCCTCGTAAGGAACAGAATATGCAGATCTGACAGTAGGCCTTTTCTATGGTGCTCTCTACTTAAATGAGATATCCTTTTCCGAGAAGAATATCAGTCCCAACTCTCCTTATATTCCATAAGTGAGTTAAAGCAATTTGGGATGCTTTCAGTCTTTTACTGAGTCTGGAAATCTCTCATAGCTTATATCTTTACTTACAGACTTTCATTGGTATATAATTTGAATTGTGAAGTTTGTGATATACTATTGTTGCCCAGAATTAATATTGATTGGGGTGGGCTACAATATTAACAAATATTGTTAAATAAGTCAATCAATGAAGTATAATTATATGTGGGAATAACCTTTGGGACACAAGGCAACAAAGGGAACAGTCAGATAAAAGGCAGCTGGTCACAGCAGGAATGTGAATAGGGCATGAGACTCAATGAGCCCCTGCTAGTTTTAAGGCTATGAAGAGATGAAGATGTACTCTCAGACATGCAAGATTCTGCTAATATAACCTTACAATAAAGTAGAATTAGCTCATCTGGTTGTGTGGTGGCACAGTGGTTAGAATGAAGTATTGCAGGCTAATTCTGCTGACTGCCAGGGGTTCAATCCCACCAGCTCAAGGCTGACTCAGCCTTTAATTCATCCAAGTTTGGTAAAATGAGGACCCAGATTGTTGGGGGTAATACGTTGATTCTAAACTGCTTAGAGAGAGCTGTAAAGCACTGCAAAGCTATATAGCTTTTATTAGTGTTATTAGTATTAGTCTAAGTGTTATTGCTATTCCTATCTGGTCTACCTCATAAGGCTGACAAATACATTGAAACCATGATTTAAAATTAGGATGGTAACAATAAACTATCATTTGAAATTTTCAAATAAATTATATGCAAGCAAATACATCTTAACATCATATACAAGCTAAATCATTATCTCAATTTCCTATGTACTGTATATGTACACAAATTTGCTACTGTGGATACTAGAGAAAGCTTAGTAATTACAGCACCTTAGCATTTATACTGTAGTGAACAAAACACTTTAATTTCTAGATAAATAAGTAGCATTTGGTGGCAGTTACACCTAACTCTAAGTCAAACAGTAATTTGGGCTGCATGCAAAGCAGCACTTTCCTGCCCTTTTCACTGCCCAATCAGCACAAAATCCCACACATCTGTAGCCACTAACTTCTTCTCTATTTTAATATAGTTCTTATTTTGTTGACATTCCTTGTTTATCTTATTTTACTCTAGAATTATTTTATAGGACAATAGAATTTTCTATACAGATATGCTCTTCATTTTGAAAGTATCCAGAACTAAAATTCTTTCCTTTTCTAGTAATCTTTATTTATTCATAATGACTGTACCTGAAAATATCATCCAATTAAATTAAGAAAAAATTAATTGCATGTACATTTCATATAACATTCAATTAAGTGATATGAAAATGTTGGTTTTGGTTTGACACTTACCCAATTAAAGTGGGCTGATTTCCAAATAGCTAAAACACGGATTCAATGGAATTTTTCAGAATATTCACTGCTTATGATTACAAAACTCCAAGTTTTGTATACATATAATGTATATATACACACATGTACACACGTGTTTACCTACCTAAAAGAGGATACATATACACACATGTACACACGTGTTTACCTACCTAAAAGAGGATACATATACACACACGTACACACGTGTTTACCTACCTAAAAGAGCAGCAAAAATAGGAAACCGATTTGGATTCAGGTCCAGTTGCTTGGCAACTTCATGCATCAGGTATTGGCTTGTTGTGAGGCTTTTTCCATTACGGCTCAGTTTTAGGGCATGGGCACTGAAATAGTAAGGGATGTTGCACAATGCATAATCTGAATCATATGCAACCAAGCCATGAAAACCTTTTTCTCGGCAAAAACCAATTACTTCTTGATGGTGATCTTCGATACTTTGTGCAACCTATGCAAAAGAAAAGGAAATGCAAAACAGTATATTAAAACTTGGCTTCCATTTGTATATATAAACCAAAATCTACATTAATATCACATTTTAAAAAGTTCATATGTAGAATATGAAGTCATAGTTTGCTAAACTTTATACAATTAAACAAAAAATAATACTCAGGCATCCCTCAACACTACACTGCTTTATATTCAGCATTCTTTTGGATGAAACTAGTAATCTTGTTCAGAAAGAACTTGCAAGGAAATCATTGTACAGGGACACTTCATATAATGCTTTAAGACCTCTTCCCCACTGACAAGTCAGTCTGCATTTTGAGAAAACCTGCCTTAGTAAGTTTATCATATTCCATCCTACTCTTCTGGTGGTAGAGCAATCAAATAACTTTTTCTGTGCTTGACATCTTGACCAACTTTCCTTGAAATTCACCTACAATTCTATTTCTACTCATTACAGAATGACCCTGGAACTTTCATTAGGTCAATTTCTATGGAGTAGTAACACCTTCAAAGGGGTCTATTTTAGATCATTCAAAGCGGAAATTTTTAAAAGATATTATGAAGCATTTCCTATTTTTTTTTTTTAAAAAAAAAAATACAACTGTTATATTATACAAAATAATTTAGAACTAGAAAGGATAGGGAGGTCTTTCTCAAGAAAGGCAAAACCTCAATTATCAAGAGGTTAAAAATAAAGGGTAAGTAAAACTAAAGATTCAGAAATACTGATTATATGACATTTTATGTAGCAAAACATATATTCTCAACTTTGGGTCCCCGCACCCTTCATTACTCTCAGAGTCTGTTTTCCAGAAAATATATGCTTTCAATATTTGTTACATATATTAGAATTTAAAACTTTATTCACTTTATTACAGTGGTGGTGATTTTTTTTTCTATTTTGAAACCTTACAGCTGGTGGTTTCTCTTTACCCAGAAAAAGTAAGTAGATTCCACATTTCTAAGAATTCAACTATCTGTAATTTTATTTAGAATTTAAGAAAATTTAAATTATTTTAAACTAGCTATAAAACTAAAATTAACTTTCTAATAAAAATACATGCTCCACTGTTTCTTACAGAACACTTTAATTAGCATATTTCATACATTTATAAATTAACAGAACCTATCTTAAACTCTTCACAAACTTATGTATTTCATATATTTCCATTTTCCACAAAATATTGATCTACTCTGAACAGTAACAGTAATTTTTTTTCTAATTACATCAACATCTCTGGAAAATTTATACACCTAGAAAACTAGTTAGAAAATGATTATGAGCATGGATTCATTTAATGATTCTGAGACCCTCTTTATCATTTTACCAATTTCCATTCTTTCATGCCAAAGGAATTTCAGAATAACCTGACTTGGCATTTAGCAAGAGAAGTTTCCATAAAAATGCCACAATGTCAGATGTCCAGCTTTGTGGCAATTAGACGGGCCTTCTCTTGCATTGCTTCAAATTTATGAACTGTTTTCCACATTTAGATTCTACAACTTCATAACAGGAATTGAAACCACCTTTTTCCACCAATCCTTTTGAGAAGCTGAATTAATATGTGTAATTTACTGTATTTAACTGTTAAATTTACCCTACACTGCTAGATGTCTTAAATCAGGGGTCCCCAACCACCGGGCCGCGGACCGGTACCGGGCCGCGGAACAACTCCTACCGGGCCGCGGCTTGCTGGGCGCCGCCATCTTTTTTTCATGAAAAAGTGCTTCCGGTGAGCTTTTCCGGGTAGAAAGCTCACCGGAAGCACGTTTTCATCAAAAAAAGATGGCGGCGCCCAGCTGATGCCGGTACTGGGCCGCGGCGTCAAAAAGGTTGGGGATCACTGTCTTAAATGATGTATAAGTAGAAAACCAGTACTTATAGTACAATCATGCAGGTCACACTGAGTTTGTGGGACTTTTTTCTAAGAAGAATATCATTATGTTTCTTGTATTAAATATTAATAAGCTAATTTTCCTAATACAATATAATTCATATACAACTGAATAACTATTTTGAATATGGAGAACAGAACTGAGGATTTTTTCTTTAGAACACTCTCTCTCCCAGTCTCTTAAAGATACCCACACTCAACCTAACCATAAACAGAACTTCCTTTTCCTTTTTTAAACCCATATTTTCTATTAATCTTCTATTTGCTCCATTAAAAACTAAAAAGTAAAATTATAAATTTCAATTTCCACAATGACCATTCTTCTCAATTGCCCAGTAAACAACGCCAATTTGGTGGTGAGATCAGACTAGGTGCCCACACATACAACCAATATTGGGGGCGGGGGGGAGGACAGGATTGACAGTGGTTAATCAAGTCTTATGAGCAAATGCTAATTAAAATATAAAAGCAATGGAAAGACTCCAGTATTACAACTTTCCTCAGAGATTTAAGAATATCAAAATCCTGAAAAAGAAAGCAAATGTATTATGCATGATATCCTAAACATTTCCTTCAAAATAGCTTTATTACAGATTAGGTCTCCCAGATTTGATCCCTTTCAAATATAATGGATTATGTAGAGTCTTTGGTGTTCACTGTGCTTGGTTTCATTACCAAACAAGATAACATAATCAATTCTAGAAAATGTTTGCTTGTTTTATATAGTAGTGGTTGGTCTATGTAGGTGGGAGTGGTCTTGTGATTCTTTGATTAGGCTGTTGTTTACTGTTAGCTTGTTTGCCTGAGTTGTTGGTTCCTTGATTGGGGTATTGTTTACCTCTTGATTGCTGGTCTAGTGCTAATCTTGGTTTTAATCTTTGCTCATCTGGGTGTTGATTGCTGGACAAGAAGTATTTTGATTTTTTTGATTTTTTGTTTTGTTTCCTTTTTTATTGTCTCTTGAACAGCATTTAGATGTTGTTTATCTCTATATGACTGTGAATAGCAGATGTGTCTGAGTGCCAGGCTTCCAGTAATTCACTAACAGTTTTTGAGATTGGGATTTAGTTTGGTCTACAATGCTGAGTATCAAGAAATGATGGTCTGTCCATGGACTGTGAAATTAAGGAGTCATGTCTTCTGGCTGCTAGTTGGTGTTCATGGATGTCTAAACAACCAAGCACAAGAGAGTAGCAGAGATACCACAGTTCAATCCTGAGCTACAAGCATTCTTTTCTATCAGTAATGGAACATAACTGCTATAATCCTCATTAAGTACAAACTTTGGCCAAAGTAGATGGGTGACAGAATGTATAATCTGACACATTTGGATAAATTGGAGAAAAAGTCAAATAGGTAGTGCTGAGTGTCAAATCACAGAAACACAGTATTTCACTGAAAGTTATTTAAAATTGTATTATGTATCTTCCAGTATAAATCTGAAAGGCAGTTAAAATGCATGTGTCATGTATTGACATATTAGGTGTTCTGAATATAACTTCCCATGATCCTCTTATTGTTTAGACTCATATATATTCTCTATTTCTTATGCAACTTATTAAAATTATGCATTTGAGATTCCAATATAATGTGAATTATATTCATGAATCAGACATCACAGTACATATTATAACAAACTGTCATCATGATAGAATTTATTTTATATTTTTAATATTATCTTTCACTAGAACTTTATTCCACTAGAAGTAATGGTGTTAAGCCATTTCACATTTAAAAGATTATTGCATAGAAATAAATATCTTATTGCAACTTTCTGTAAATTTAGAGTAAGGAGTTATTGCTAACAGATTTTAAAGTTTCCATTACAATAACATATGCTTTTATTTCTATTTTACAAGAAAATTCTTATTAAGCATTGGAAAGAAAAATGTTTTAATAAAACCTTCAGAACATCTATACTCTTTGAAATCACTGATCCTTTTTCTTCAAAGACTACTGCAAAAATGGGTTTCTAGCTTCAAATTATGTATTCGTTAGAAATGTAAGTCACATCTGATTTACAGAAATATGATTGCACGTAGCAGCTTTCCACTTCTGATAGATGAATAACAAGAACAGAGCGATCTAACTTGTTCACTATGTTACACTTAATGTCTGTCACTTATGTAAGCCAATCATTATACCAGATTTGTCGGACTTGTAGGCTTACTAAATTTCTTACCAGTTACAACTGAAACAAGGGGAGGGACTTCCACCAGCAACTTAGTCTGAAGTATCACAGCCATTCTACCAACACAGAATGAATTCTAGACCTTAAACTGCTAAGTTTCAGTCAGAAAATAATTTAACCCACACTTCCAGAAAGAAGTGTCATTATGTTTTCAGTTTCACTGAACTTATTAAAAACTAACTTTTAATATCCATGTCTAAAAATATTCTGGGGGTGGGGGTGGAAAGGATCCTTTGTCTCTCTACAGCTAAGCTTTATATGCCACAAGGTAGAGCCTAGTAACACCAAGCTCCAATTATGAAACTGTACATTATCTGTAAAGGTCACATATTTACTCAACTATGCAACATAATTGACAAAACTCTCTATTTAGGAGAACTAAGAGTTCAAGAAAGATACCTCACCAGTAGATTTATTTTAAGGGCAAAATGAAATAAAATGAAACACTATTACAACTACTATCATGAGAACAATACTACATAATTATTTGGGGGGGAGGGTTAAGAAAAAAGGAGGAATGACTATGGTCATTGATTTACATGTAATGAAATCTCTAAATCAAATAATATCATAAATTTATTCAGCCATATATATAATTGTGTTGTTTTGTTGCTGTACAGTAACAATTTAAAACTTAGTAGCTTCTACAAAACTGTAATTAAATGATTTACAATGGTGATATTATTAGTCAAAAATTTCAAACTTTTGTGTAGTTCAAGCCACAAGTTCCCTGACCCTCTAAATCATAGATTTAAAAAAAACTTGTTGCTTGCATGCATTTTCTGGACAATTGACTAATTTCCCATTTATGATTTATACAAATTATAGAAATGATTCTAATTATTCTTAAAAGAAACAACTGAATCAAAAAATAACTGATTCAAAGAGTGGTTATTAGGTTTAAAGGTCATTTTACTAATCTGAGGGATCAAAACAATGGAATTAAAGCACCTGAACCTGATGTTTTCAAAAAAGAACACAAAAGACACAGTTAAAAAAATTAGAGTGCACCCGGAACAGAAATATAAAAAGATGGATTTTGTTCCCAACTGGCAATGCAACTCTCCTCCTGGATCAAGTATAATGATCACTAATTATCTTCCTTTATAGTTTAAATTATAGTTTATAGCTATTTGTACAGGGAAAGAATGGACTTGACCTGCACTTAAGAATTATGGCAGAAGGCCTGAGGAGAGATAGCAAAAAAAACTTGTATTAACCAAGCAGAAATCCTAGTTGGATTCTAGTTGGAGCAATGGAAAAAGAAAATGGGATTCCTTGAAATGTTTAATTGGTCTCTGGTCTAGGACTGTAACAAATTGAATTGAAATTCAATTTATCAATTAATCTTAGCAACTCACTAGGACTTCTTACATTGTGGATGGGAGCCTTTGGATGTTCCCTGTTCCTCTCATCTGATTTTCAAAGCTCTATATATAAATAGAAAAATCCCTGTACAGATTGAGGACATCAGTTTGCTTACTAAGTCCTCTCCTACGCCAGCTCCGCCACCCTGTGCCTCCCTGCCTCTTAGTGAGGACGCAGGGAGACTTGTTTCTACTCTGTTCCTGGGAAGGGAAGAGACAAACGCAATACTGTACAAACTTTCGGGGCAACCTTGGATGATTATTAACGATCAGCGGGAAGCACGCTGGATCCCAGGAAATCTCGTCTCTCCGCCCAAGGTTCTAACTCAGCTAGTTTTCGACGACATTTTGCGGATATGGGAAAACAGAACTTCCTTCTCTTCTTCCCTCTGGAATTAGTCAAACCATAACCGGGAGGGAAAAGTCTGCTGCCATCTTTATTTATGCTGCCCCTCCGTCCACCGCACGGAAGGGGGGGGGGGGTCTCAACCCAGTAAGGTGGCGAGGCGCTTCCATGAATAGAAGGGCGGCAGCGCAGGAGTTGGTCCCCAATGGGCGTCAGGCCCCTGCTAAAGGGCCCCCCTCCCCATGAGACGGGTAGCGCGAACCGGAGAGCGCGAAGAGAGTAGAAAAAGAGCGAAAAGCACGGGAAGAGGCTGGAGGGCAGATCCGGGCTGCAAGGGGGCCCTGGTGTCACGGGCCAGGGGAGACGCATGCAAGGGGGCACTGAAGACGGCGCTGGGCAGCCCTCCGAGCAGGCCGTTGCTTTCGCTCGCTTACCTTGATGTGGAAGCGGATGAGGGCCAAGCGGATGCAGTGCGCCATGCAGACAGGCGGGAGAAACCAGACCTTGGGCGGCGGGGTGCCCTTGTTTTGGACGTGGCTGACAATCTGTTGGGCGGTCTGGCGCTCGTTGCCTTGCCGCTTCACCCACTCGTGGAGCCGGGCCTTTTCCAGGGCGCCGTTGAAGAAAACGAAGAGCTCGATGTTGCCGTTGAAGCAGGCCTTGGCTAGCGCCGCCAAGTAACCCAGCATGTGGTTCCATTGCCCGCCGCTCACCCAGTCCGTGTAAAAGCCGCCGTAGAGTCGGTGCAGGCAGTTGTCGGCGTCGATGAGGAGTCGCAGCGGGGTCTGAGGCGGCCTTTGGCGACCACCACCTACCAAGCTGCCCCGGGCCAGCTTCTGCAATTCGACGGGCACAACGGCACTCGGGCAGTGTTTCTCGATGTAGTCCTGGAAGCCCTGCACTCCCATGGCGACGGTGGGACCGGGCTGGTTGTTAGCGGGGCTTAGGTGGCGGCGGAGACGGTGGCGCAGGGAAGGAGCTGGCTGAGAAGAGCGTCTTCGGTCCGGGCGTGGAGGCGGCAGGAGCAGTTGCGATGGGTAGTGCTGGCAGAAGCTGGTGCTGCTTGTCTAATATTATTCAACTAAGGCGGACTGGTTGGTTGGTTGGTGGGTGAGCGGGCGGGCGGCGGCTGCAGTTACACGGTGGCTCTTCAGGGGGGAGTTGTATGGATTAGTGGGGGGTTCATGGCTGCTGCGCCCGCCATGTGCTGCTCTCACAGCGCCATGGCTCAGGGGATCCGGGCTACTGCTGCTGTGGCTGCTGCCGCTGCGGCTCCTACTGCCGGGGAAAGGGAGGGAGGGAAGGAAAAGCAAGGGAGGAGGAAGGGAAAGGAGGAAAAGAAGAAGAGGGGGGAGCGGCACAACGCGCAGGAAGCCAGCCCACTTGCCGTCGCGGAACAGGCGGGACTTGGCCCAGAATGCCGAGGCCGCCGCTGCTGCCCGCCAGCTCGCTCAGGCAAGCGGAAGGCAGCTGGCCGAAGGCCGACGGCCCACTCTCCCCTCTTTCCACTTCCACTTGAATGGCAGAGCGGGAGGGCAGGCTGGCCGCGCCAGGCCAGCTCCCCCTTCCGTCTCCTCCTCCGACCCTCCTTTTCCACCACCTCCACCCTCGACCAAGCCTCCTCTAGCAATTAGAACTGCCCCAGCGTCGCCGCCCTGCAGCTGGGACGCTAGGGCGCAGGGCCTGTTGCATAACCCAAGCATGCGCACGGCGGGACAGGCGGGAAGAAAGCGGAGAGGAGGATTGGACCAGCCGGGGCCGCGCAAGCGGAAATGAGGGAGGGGTAGGGGCGTGAATGGCGGGTGGCTGTAGGGAATGGGAGGAAAGGGGGCCCGAGAGCGGCGAGGAGGAGGGGACGTGGAGGGAGGGGGATTGAAAGGAGGAGCGGGCGTTCGGTGGCTGGAAATGTACAAGCCACCTGCGGCCGACCTGAACTCTAAGGCTTGCTCGGCCAGGCTTCCTGCCGGATAACTGGGCACGAGTGCTAATCTTTATTATACGTGCAAAATCCCCCACTTCGAACTCCACTCCCGAGGTTGCATTTGCGCCTGAGAACATGAACCCCGCTCCGTGAAAGTGCACGCCTCAGTTCAGGCACAATAACGTGTCACATTAGACAACCCAGTTCCACAGAATAGAAATAGAATAGAATAGAATAGAATAGAATAGAATAGAATAGAATAGAATAGAATACTTTATTGGCCAAGTGTGATTGGACACACAAGGAATTTGTCTTGGTGTAAATACTCTTAGTATACATAAAGAAAAGGTACATTTGTTAAGAATCAAGAATCATAACGTACACTTAATGATAGTCATAGGGTACAATCAACAATCAAATCATATTAGGAAACAGTCAAGTGGGAGGGGATGGGTGATAAGGAGTGGTGAGAAAATTAACAGTAATAGTAGTGTACACTTTGTAAATAGTTGAACAGTGTTGAGGGAATTATTTGTTTAGCAGAGTGATGGCTTTCGGGAAAAAACTGTTCTTATGTCTAGTTCTGGTGTGCAGTGCTCTATAGCAGGGGTCCCCAAGCACCGGTCCGCGGAACAGGTCCTACCGGGCCGCTGGCTTGCTGGGCGCCGCCATCTTTTTTTGATGAAAAAGTGCTTCCGGTGAGCTTTTCCGGGTAGAAAGCTCACCGGAAGCACGTTTTCATCAAAAAAAGATGGCGACGCCAGCGCTTCCGGTGAGCTTTTCCGGGTAGAACCGGGCCGTGGCGTAAAAAAGGTTGGGGATCACTGCTCTATAGCATCGTTTTGAGGGAAGGAGTTGAAACTGTGTGTCTGGGATATGAGGGGTCTGTAAATATTTTCACAGCCCTCTTTTTGACTCATGCAGTATACAGGTCCTCAATTGAAGGCAGGTGGGTAGTAATCGTTTTTTCTGCAGTCCTAATTATCCTCTGAAGTCTGTGCCTGTCCTGTTGGGTTGCAGAACCAAACCGGACATTTATAGAGGTGCAGATGATAGACTCAATAATTCCTCTGTAGAACTGGATCAGCAGCTCCTTGGGCAGTTTGAGCTTTCTGAGTTGGCGCAGAAAGAACATTTGTTGTGCTTTTTTGATGATGTTTTTGATGTTAGGTGTCCATTTTAGGTCATGTGATATAGTAGAACCTAGAAATCTGAAGGTCTCTACTGTTGATACTGTGTTATCTAGTATTGTAAGAGGTGGTAGTATAGGAGGGTTTCTTCTAAAGTCTACCACCATTTCTACAGTTTTGAGTGTGTTCAGTTCCAGATTGTTCTGGTTACACCACGAGGCAAGTTGTACAACCTCCTGTCTGTAAGCGGATTTGTCGTTGTCTCGAATGAGACCAATCACTATTGTATTATCTGCAAACTTCAGTATTTTAACAGATGGATCGTTTGAGATGCAGTCATTGGTATATAGGGAGAAGAGGAGATAGCACACAGCCTTGGGGGGGCCCTGTGCTGATTGTACAGGTATTGGATGTGATTCCGCCTAGCTTCACCTGCTACTTCCTGTCTGTTAAGAAGCTTATGATCCACTTACAAGTGTGTCCAGGTACTGCTAGTTGGTTTAATTTACTTAGAAGAGTGTTTGGAATGATGGTATTGAATGCTGAACTGAAGTTTACAAAGAGGACCCTTGTGTAGGTATTTGGAGATTCAAGGTGTTGTAGGATATAATGCAGAGCTATGTTAACAGCATCATCTGTTGATCTATTTGCTCTGTATGCAAACTGCATGGGATCCAGCGGATCCATGATGGTTTTCAGGTGGGACAGCACAAGCCTTTCAAAGATTTTCATAACTACAGATTCATTCATTCAGGGTGGTGTGTGAGTAAGTTCATTACTTATATATAAAGTGAACTCAAAATGCCTTTATACATAAATCATCAAGGCGAAACTTAAAGCACAAGATTTATTAAAAGAATGACATGTGTGTGCGCGCACATAGAGAGCTCTCTTAAAGTATCAAGAAATTGTAGTGTTGGAATTGACCTCAAAGATCATCTAGTCCAACCCCATTTTGTGCAAGGTTTGCAAAACATTTCAGGTAGATGTTATGCTGTTTAGTTGAAGACCTCCAGTGAAGGAGACTGTGCCAGTTCAAGGGGCAGCCTATTCCATTAAGTAACAAAATTTACCATCCGGAATTTCTCCTAATCTAACTTTAATTATTAGATCTGGTCCTACCCTCTGGTTTTGCTCATCCATCCTGAAACTCCTTTGCATATGTGATGTAGTAAGACTGAAAGAAATAAGGGATATTAAAACAAATCTCTGACTTCCAAGAATTTTCTATGTAGTGGCTGTTAAACTGGGGATAATTTAGCATATCCTGGGGATAATGGAGCAATTTGTAATTGCCTTTTTGTAAATTGAGGATCCATTTTGGGACTAACATTGCTGAGATGTTTGTGATTTTTTTTATTTACAATATTCAAGACTGGGAAATGGGTTTTGGGTCAAACAGCTGAAGGACCATTTATGTAGAAGGTAGTTCTAGGCCTCCCTTAGGCATGAAAACCGGCTGGGAGATTTGGGAGGCCAGTTACCCTCTCTTAGCCCAACCCACCTCACAGGTTGTTGTGGGAAAATAGGACACAGCTGGAAGATCATTTGAACACCATTGGCATTGACAAAATCACAATCAATTACAAAAGGCAGCTTTACTTGAAACACATCCTGAGACAATACCTTTAATATTATTAAATAATAGCTTCTGCCTATCCCAGGTCCTTGGAAAGGACTCAATAGATGGAGAACAAAAGCCAAATCCAGTCTAAACATCTGGCTGACTATGGCAAGCCAAAGCCAAACAAAGACCCTGCTATCAACCAGATACGCCAATATTAATACAGTAAATACTTTAATCTTTCCACAAAGGACTGCAATCATTACAACACCATTCCTCTTGGTTTACCCTCAGCTAGGAAACCAAAAATCCAGGAAAAAATTTACAATTTTCTATATTTATTGATAATAAATGTATTAATTTTATTTATAACAATGTATATATCATCCAATTCTACATATCCTAGGTGGCTTATAAGATAAATGTGTGTATCAATACTAGTCAGCAGTATAGAAATATGGCAGCCTTTTTCCAAACTCTCAATTAGAGAACAGTAAAATTTCTTCCAGGTGAATAACTAAGGCAGAGGTCTTCAAATTTGGCAACTTTAAAACTTGTGGACTTCAACTCCCAGAATTTGAAATTGGGTTGAAGAGTTGTAGTCCCCAAGTCTTAAAGTTGCCAAGTTTGTGGACCCCTGAACTAAGAAAAGAGTATATAACCTTTTTTGACTCAATATAACCATATTCATGACCTACATATAGGTTTTGTATTGAGATAATGCTCTGGAATTCCTACTTTTCTAAGCACATTCCGTTGTCATGTTTTTTTATAAAAGTAATGTTTTTTCCATAATCAATGAAGCGTATACTAATTTTTAAAAAATATTGTTTGGCTTTCTCAGTTATCCAGTGTGCAATACAGTAACCTGTAAGCAATACCTGCCCCAAGGGACATAAAGAAAGAGACTGCTTTATCTTCTTTTTGACTGGCTTTCTGTGAACCTGTGAACTGCTGGGTCTTTACTGATAACAAAGGAGCTCTCAGTCTCAAAAATTAAACCCAGAAGTTTAAGGAGAAAAAACCCCCCAAAATCAGCCATTAGCACTTATCATCAGACATGGAAAATATTCTATTTGCATATTTTGGATGTTACTACATCCAGAAAACTGCAGACAACTTCCTGTTCTAGACAAACCATATTTGGAAATCCTGAATATCCTACTGGAGTGCTTCAATTGGGTTATTTTGGGGGCAGGGGGAAAACAAAATATGTGGAGGGAAATCAGGAACGTAAATGATATTTTGCATTGCATTTTATATAGACTGACCATTAGAGTATTAATTAAATCC